GAGGGAGTGAGGGAGTGAGCACGATCATGGCCACTACAGAGCTGAGCTGCCAGGTGTCCGAGGAGGACCGCGAGCGCCGAGAAGCCTTCTGGGCTGAATGGAAGGATCTGACGCTGTCCACACGGCCTGAGGAGGGGTGAGTGCCAGCCGGCTGGGAGTCCCTCTCCCCCAGAACACCCCTCCTGAGCCTCAGGAGGCCAGAGCACAAAGCCCTGCAGAAGTTTCTGGGGGTAGGGACAAGGAGAGGGTACCCCTTCTGTACCCCAGGTCCTGGAAGCCCCAGGGAGCCCCCTGCCCAGCTCATTAGTAGAGGGTAGCAGATTTCAGGAGCTCAGTGTCCCCTCCCGTCTCCTCCCCAGTTGCTCTCTGCATGAGGAGGATTCTCAGCGGCATGAGACCTACCACCGGCAGGGCCAATGCCAGGCGTTGGTGCAGCGTTCCCCCTGGTTGGTGATGCGTATAGGCATCCTTGGCCGCGGGCTGCAGGAGTACCTGCTGCCCTACCAGCGGGTGCTGCCGCTGCCCATCTTCACCCCCACCAAGATGGGAGCCGCCAAGGAGGAGCGCGAGGACACCCCCATCCAGCTGCGGGAGCTGCTGGCCCTGGAGACAGCCCTGGGTGGCCAGTGTATGGAGCGCCAGGATGTGGCCGAGATCACGAAGCAGCTGCCCCCTGTGGTGCCTGTCAGCAAGCCCGGTGCCCCTCGTCGCTCCCTGTCCCGCTCCATGTCCCAGGAAGCACAGAGAGGCTGAGAGGGACGGTGACCTGGGCTCCACTGCGCCCGCCGCGGGCTGGGCCCTTCCTGGCTAGGACCATGGAGGGGAGCTGCTGGCCATGGATGCTTTGTAGTTTGCCCAGAGTTGGGGGCTAGGGGAGGAGGGAGCCAGAGGCCAGGATGCCTGGGTCCCCTGAGTTCCCAAAGGGAGGGGAGCAAAGACAGTGGCCACGAAGGGTAGGGAGCTGGGGGCCAGCACAGCCAAGTGCCCCCCAGCCTTAGGAGAAGGGACAGAAGATGCCGGGGAGGACAAGTGGTCACACCAGGGGAGTGACCCTGGTCCGGGCCCGGCTTCAGAGAAGATGAGGATGAGTGTAAGGGGATCTGGAATGCTCTAGGAAGAATTGGAGGAGACTGGAGTGAGGGGGACGTGAAGAGGGCAGAGGGGAGAGTGGAGCCCCCAGCATCCTCTGTTAGCGTTAGCGCTGCAATAAACGCTCAATTGTGTTCCAGACTTTCTGTCTCTTTCCTTATGGGGGCCAGCCCCACCGTGTCCAGCCCTCGGTGCTCACTTCTGGGAATAGGCCTTGCATCTGAGCTAAATATGGCAGAGCCGGTGGGTACACTCCATGCTAGGTGGTGGGGGCAGGGGAGACAGGGACGGAGCTGTAAACAGGGTGGCTGGCTCTCCGGTCCCCTTTCTGTGCCCTGGCACTGGGCAGTCCCCGGCGGGCCAGCTGGCACCCAGGGTTTGTTTAAATGATCTCATGGAGTGTTGGGAGGGGGCTGGCAGGAGGACTGTCCTTGGCTGTACCTAAGGGTGTGAGTGGGGTCACTGGCCCCAAGGCTGACCTGAGTTCTGAATCCAGACAGAATCAATCCTTGGCTGGGGTCAGGCACTTGACCCACACCACCCAGGGAGCGCAGGGTGGGTTGTGGGAAGCAGAGGGTCAGGTGCTTGTCTGTGACACCGGTCTCAACCTGGTTGCCTGGTCCAACAAGGAGACATGTTCTCCTTAGGACAAGGTGGGGGCCAGGAAGGGCACAGAGGAGGCTAGGGCCCCCTCTGGACAGGGTCTGAGGAGCAGGGACTGGCCCAGAGGGATCCAACTCCAGGGAGACCAGAGATGGCCCCATGGAATCCACTTCCCATTTAGGGGAACAGGAGGGGAGACGCTGGCATCTTGACCTGGAGTGCCAAGCAGGACCTGCAGGCTGGGCCTGGCACGCTCACCCAAGAGAGGGGAATGTAGTGTGGGCTGGGGGAGGAGAGGGGTCAGAAACCCCAGATTGGTGAAACCCCAATTCCCTTGGCGCTGAAGAAGCCCCAGCCGGCGCCCTCGGGTGACCGGGCAGCCCGGAGAAGGCTTGGCTTGAGCCCTCCAGCCCTCCAGCCCTCACCACGCCCGCGGCCCCGACACGGCCATGGCCAGAACGTCCCGAGCCTCCTGCTCAGAAACCCCCAGATAGGCGGCTCTCGGAGCCCGCGGGGGCCGGCGGGGAGGCCCTGCTGTTGGGCCGGCTAAGCGCATTAGCCCCGCTCGCGTCCCCTATCGCTGCTGCCATCGGCCGGGCGGGGCCGAGCTCTGCCGCGGGGGCCCCGGGCGACCGCCGCGGAGGCCGGAACGGACTGTCCTTTCCGGGGTGGGGGTGGGGGTGGGGGTGCTGGGGGCCGGGGGTTGATAGGAAAGGACGGAAAAGGGCTGGAGGAGGGGCGGGGGGGGCAGCTGGGGTGACCTGACCAAGGGAAGGGGGGGATGTTGGACGGGGTGTCTGGGAGGAGGAGGGCCGGATGGGCTGGGCCCGGGGTCGGGGACTGGGGCGCTGGGAGAGCGCTGACTGGACCCCTGGCCAGAGAACAGGGATGGCTGGGGCGCCGGGAGGCTGGAGGAGAGCGACGGGAAGGGCTGGGGACTGGGGGGCAAGCATCTGAGGGTCACGGGGGCAGGAAGCTGGCTTGGACCAGGCAGGGTGAGGCAAAGGATGGAGGGCTGCTGGAGCAGCTGCGGGTGGGGGGTGCGGAGGGCTGGGGCGGGGGTGGCGGGCGTGCCCGGGCCGCCGCTCGGACACTAAGGGAGATGGATGGCGTGGGGCGCGCAGAGCGCGGAGCCCCGGGCGGCCCCAGGCGCAGCCGCCGCCCCCGCAGCGGAGGGGCGGGCGGGGGACCCGCGGCACATAAAGGGGCGGCGAGGCGCCGGGACAGCGCGGGCGGCGGCGGCATGAGCGCGGCAGCCCCGAGTCCCGCTGCGGGCGCGGCCCCCGACGCGGCCCCGGGCCGGGAGGCTGTCGCCTCCGCCTACCAGCGCTTCGAGCCGCGCGCCTACCTCCGCAACAACTACGCGCCCCCCCGGGGGGACCTGCGCAGCCCCGACGGCGTCGGGCCCTGGAAGCTGCGCTGCTTGGCGCAGACCTTCGCTACCGGTGAGCGCGGGGAAACGGGCCGGAGGACCAGAAGCCATCGGGGAGCTAAGCGGGCACACGCGAGACCCCGATGGGGACCCGGGGACCGAGAAGCAGAGAGGGGTAGCGAGGAGGTGAAAACAGAGGAGGAGAAGCGCTGTCCCTTAGGTGCAGGGCGGAGGGGAGACGCCCGCGGGGAGGGCGTGGGGAAGTGAAGTGGGGAGTGCGGGAAGGAGACCCGGGTGAAGGGAGACCCGGGCAGCCCCACCTACGCCGCACCTACCGGCAGGAATGGCCCCGCAGGTGTGGCCCGTGAATCTCAGAGGGGTTAAGTCCCTCTCCCAAGGCCCGTCAGTGCACGTTCGAGCCAGGACTCTGACCCAGGTTGGCTGAGGCTTTCTCCAGTGGAGTCACACGTACCCAGGAAGAAGGGAGAGAGGCTGCTAGAAGCAGGTAAGGGAGGGAGTGATGGACAGGGCTGGCACCAGGGCCTTCCTCTTCTCCCCCCCCCCCCCAGGTGAGGTGTCTGGACGCACCCTCATCGACATTGGTTCAGGCCCCACCATATACCAGCTGCTCAGCGCCTGCACTCACTTTGAGGACATCACCATGACAGATTTTCTGGAGGTGAACCGCCAGGAGCTGGGGCTCTGGCTGCGGGAGGAACCCGGGGCCTTCGACTGGAGCATGTACAGCCAGCACGTCTGCCTCATTGAAGGCAAGGGGTAAGGGGGCTTCCCATGGAGTGGCGGGGGCGGGGGGCAACAGAGAACTAAGCGTGGAGTGACCCTGAGCCCCGGTCCTGCCCCTGCACAGTGAATCCTGGCAGGAGAAGGAGCACCAGCTGCGAGCCAGGGTGAAGCGGGTCTTGCACATCGATGTGCACCAGCCCCAGCCCCTGGGTGCTGGGAACCTGGCACCCCTGCCTGCCGATGCCCTGGTCTCTGCCTTCTGCCTGGAGGCTGTAAGCCCGGACCTTCCCAGCTTCCAGAGGGCCCTGGACCACATCACCACCCTGCTGAGACCCGGGGGCCACCTCCTCCTCATCGGGGCCCTGGAGGAGTCATGGTACCTGGCTGGGGAGGCCAGGCTGGTAGTGGTACCCGTGTGTAAGGAGGAGGTGATGGAGGCCTTGGTTCGTAGTGGCTACGAGGTGCGGGACCTGCGCACTTACATCATGCCTGCCTGCCTTCAGACAGGTGTAGACGACGTCAAGGGCATCTTCTTCGCCTGGGCCCAAAAGAAGGAGGGGGTGTGATGGCCCAGGGCACCCAGTGCTGAGAGCTAACATACACACAGATTCCCTGTTATGAGAGGTGGCACCTAATAAATAAGTTCCTCTTGCTGGGCGTCAGCTTTGTCTGTGGCTTTCCTGGGAAACAAGGGCCCGGAGCTCTGTTTGGGTTGTGGGGGTGGGGAAGCCACCAACCCTAGCCTTTTTTTTTTTCTCAGAAGCTTCCATGAAGGCAGGTTTCTTTACCACTCGTTCTTCCCAAACTAAAGAAAGTCAAGGCTAGAGGGAGCTCATTCGGCATCTGCTATGTGCCAGGCCTGCTGGGTCCTCATACTCACATGTTGTCCTATTTGCAGGTGATGCTAAGAAAGGTTAAGTAATAGTAGGAGAGCCTACTTTAGACCAGAAGGGGAGGAGAGGAGGATAATCAGGAGACTGGAGTAGACAGTGCAGGGAGAAGGGGTTACAATCCAGGCACCAGTTCCCTCCCCCAGAGACCCCTCATTGGCCCCCCACAGCTGGACTGGAGCTCCACCCAGCTCTGCACCTGCTCCCTGCCATCCTCACCCCCACCTGCCTACTGCCCCCAGCCAGCTGTCTCCTTCCCTCCAGCCCACACCATTCACACAAACAAGCTGAACAAGGGTAGGTGAGGCTCAGAATTGGTTTATTAAGAATGTCCCTTGCTACCCTCCTACCTTAAAATAGTTCTCAATATCAAAAGAAACACAGGCCACCCAAGTCTGAGGCTGAAGTCCTAGCATAGCACTCCTACTCCCCAGGGAGGGACAAGGGCGCAGGGAAAGAACAAGAACCAGGCTCCGATCACAGAGAGTGCCTTTGAATGGAAAGTTTCTGGAGCTCCACATCCTATCCTTGTGGAACAGGAATGTGCCGGGGCTGCTGGCGACTTGCAGGGGTCACCTTTACCAGGGTGCAGATACAGCGCGGCCCCCACGTGCTCTGGGAAGGCAGGAAACCAGACCCAGCCACAGGCTTTCTCCTCTACTCCCTCACATTGTCCCCCACCCCTAGGGTCCAGACCAGGACAAAGGGGGCTTAGCAGGTAGAGCCTTGAGCCTTAGAGAAGAGGGAGGCCAACCAAGTCTAGGTGAGGAGACAGACAGGAAGGCAGGAGAGGCCCAGGAGATCCCTGTGTCCCTTCCTTCCTCTGCTCTAGAGACGCTGGTTCCAGAGGGTGGTTTGAGCTGTGTATGGACCCTCTGACATTTAGAGTAGTATTGTAAAGTGGGGGCAATGGACAGGAACACACCCATGCAGCCTGGATCCTCGTACCCCGCTGGCTCAGATATCCTCCTGGCTCTCTGCCCACCTGGGGCCTTGTGCAGAGCTGGTGCTCAACAGATACTTTTTGGTAGTAACCTGATCCTCCATTTCTCTCCAACCTCCCCTCATGATGTGACGCTCACACTCACCTTACCCAGTCCATGCATATTGCCCTAACCCACACTTACCCACCTGTCCTGCAACACACACTTTAAAACCACTCACACCCACCCCACTCTCCCCACATGCTCACATACATTGTCCCCCCCAGCATCTCATACATGCAGGCCCACACCCACCACCCTGTCACCTATGCACTGTCTAGCTCACACTTCCTTCCACACTCATGGGCAGGCTCTTAACCAGAACCACAGCAGAGGAGCCAGAGGGATTCCCGTCCTGGGCTCTCTGGGGTTCTGGCCCCAGAGAGGGAATGCCATGAGGCCTCCAGGGATTCTGGCTGAGGCAACCCCCAACCCTAGCAGCTGGGTCCCTCAAGATCCCACTGGGAGGAGACCTGCCTTGGGACCTGGCCTGCCAAAGAGCAAGAGTCTAGTGCCACCTAGTGGTGCCATGGAGGAGGGCAAGGGGTAACAGAAGGGGACCCCACTGTGTCCCCAAAAGCCTGTATACCTGGTCTCCCAGCTATACAGACAGCTGTAGGAACCACCTTGGCATTGAGGGGACGTGGGGAAGGGGCTAATGGAGAGGCAGAGGCAGCTCTCCTCTTGGTGGAGCTAAGAACACAGTTCTACTCCAGTTCTCCAGGAACCAGAGGGGCTGTCCATCCTCCAACTCCAGATGCTGAGAAAGCCAAGTCTGAACAGACTCCAAGGCTTGTGAGGGCCAGGTGGGGGCAAGTAAGAGGATGGGCAGTGACATGATTCTGGGCCCATACCCTTTATGTCCAAGTTCAAGATGCTAAAAGGAAGAAAATCATCTCAAGGATTATGGGGAGGAGGGGAACCAGCTGGGAGAGGGCAGGATCCCCAGTGGGGCAGACCCACCCCCAGGCCCTTCAATCCAGCTTGAACTTGGCCTCTGATTCCTTCAGCAGATACAGGCTGTCATCTTCCAGGAAGCTGTGGGCAGAGGGAGGAGCCCACTGAGGTATGGCTCTGAAAGCACCCCGTGGGGGCAAGTGTAGGCAAGCTAGCAGGGGGTGAACCAAGCTAGCAGGGGGTGAGCCGCACAGAGGCCTTAGTTTCCTCAAGGAGCAGGTGAGGATGGACACAAAGAAGGTGCACACGGGGCAGGGAGTAGCACCCACCTGAAGAAGAGGACGTGGACCGGGATGGTGCTGATGTGCCAGATGGCATGGGCATCCAGGACCCAGAAGAAAGGTGGGAAGTCGAGCAGCTCAAGCAGGGACAGCCCCTGTAGCAGCAGGACCACTACCATGCACTTGCGCACATGAGGCAGCCGCCGCAGGTTTCGCAGGCACCAGGCCAGCCACCACACCACGTTCACCAGGCCTGGGTGGGGGTAGGGGTCGGGGTGGGGAGAGGCTCACTCCTGGGACCTCGTCCCCTGCCACTCCCCCCAAGCCTCCCCTATCCTCATGCTCTTTGACCCCAAGACCATCTTCAGACTCTCCTCCCAGCCTCCCCTCTCCCACCCCAAGGGCCTCTCTAGAACCTTCTCCAGGAATACCATCAAATCCCTACCTCCACCCCAGGCCAGCAGTTCTACACATGGTCCAGGTCCCTCCCCTTCCCCGCACCCCCCGCCCTGGTCCTCAGTTCCCCCCTCATGCCTCACCAATAGCCACATTGGCTGCCAGGTTGTAGCCATAGTCGAAATGGACGAGGCTCAGGTAGGAGACATGCGCAGTCAGCATTAGCAGCAGGAGGGCCCGGAAGGCACTGGCCACAGCCGGGTGCTGCAGCCCCACGGTCCTGCCTCGCCAACCAGAGCCGCTCAGATGGAGGGTGGCCCATGCCCAGAACAGCATTCCTTAAGTATCCCTTCATCCTGACGTCAGTATGTGGGGGCCACTGCCCTCCTCCCCTACCCAAACTGGCCAGCCAAGCAGGCCTCCAATCCCCCCAGGGGCCTGGGACCAAGTGCTGCTGCTCCTTGGAAAGAGCCAGGGCCCCCTAGCTCTACCCCAAAGTCCCCATCCAGAACAGCCCAGAGGGTGTGTGCGTGTGTGCCTGTGTGCGGTGCAAGGCCCCAGGGACAACACCCCCAGGGGTGGGCGAGGTGATCATTTCTGCCCCCAGTGCCTGATTTTGCCCCTGCAGGGCCAAAATGGGCTCACCTGACACAGCACAGATAGATTGAGTGTAGGATGACGGTGGAGGCACAGAAGTAATCCATTTTCTGAGGACAGGGAGAGCTGGATGAGGGGCCAGTGTGAAGGGAGGGGGAGGGGGACAGAATTTTGTGTGGGCAGGGCCCTGAGACGACCCTGGGATGGGGCCAGGAGGGGCGTTGGAGGCACAGCTATACTGTGACATGGGAGTCCCCGGGCTACAGGCGGCAGGGTGGAGGTGGGAGTAGGGGTGTCTAGGTCTCTTGCTCCTTGTGCCTATTGCTGTTTCACTCCTGAATTTAACAGTCTGACTCTTGTATTCACATCATACAACTTTTTAAAATGTATTCAGCAGCGAGGTGTTGGAGGCATGGTGGAGGTGCCTGACAGGACACCAGGGCTCCAGGATGCACGAGTGCCGCAGGACTCAGAGCACAGCCTCGAGTCCACGGCTGTAGGCCCAAGTCCAGGCATCGCCCTTACTGGCCGGGTGACCCGGGCAAGCGATTTTGCCATTCCAAGGTTCAGCTGTCTCATCGGTTAAGAGCCAATAATCACATCTACCTCATAAGGGTCAAGGTGGGGCTCAAGTGCACGAATAGGTTAAAGATGCCTAGCACAGAGCAAGTGCTGGGTAAATGGAGTCCCTAGGAAACCCTAGAGGGGCCCCCACCCTTTCTGGGCTCCTCTGGGACTGTCCCAAACAGGAGATGGAGTCAGAGGGCCGCTCACCTCTGTGAGGTCGGTGTCCTTGGTGTGGAAGACTGTGGACCAGAACCAAGCATTGAGGGAAACCTGTAGGGAGGGGCTGGTAAGCATGGGGTCCCGAGGTGGGGAAGGGGCTCTTTGGAGCAGTGAAACACTCTTACCTTTGGCCCTGGAGCCCGCAGAACAAACCCATGCCCTCAGCTTCCCCGAAACCCTGAGCCCCCCAGGCCACGGGGGCTGCAGCCTCCACAGGTTCCGGCCTGGCCTGGGAACCAGTTCCGGCAGAGCCAAGTTCCCTGCTTACTCAATCTCTAAGACAACAGCCCCCAGGGGGCCTCGCCTCCTCCCCCAACTGGCAGGTGATGATAGCCCCACCCGGGCCAGGGGAGCTGGTGACCTCAGCCTCTGGGGGCGGGAATGAAGTGGGTGGAGTGGAGGGGCTCGAGCCAGCTTGGGGTGTGTCCCGAGCAAAGCAAGCCAGAGAGATCTCTCAAGCAGATCCCAATGGGGCCAAGTCTCTAAGGAGAAGCCTGGCCAACTGAGCCCAGCTTCCTCCTGGGTGGGCCGGCCCAACCCGCCAGACCAGTGTCTGCTGCTCCAGAGCTCTGGGAGGAGCAGAAGGCTGAAGGGGCTGTGGCGGGTCAGGGCCCAGGAGCATGTTTGAGGCCTTTTCTCTGGAAATTAACTGCAAAGGGACAGTACAAAACATCTTGTAAATGAATTCTAGATCTTGTGGGAGTTGGTGCTGTGTTCATAGCAGAGGCCCAGATCACTGAAAGATGGTGGGCTAGGGTGGAGGTTCCTTCACTGGGCTGGAAAACCAGTGACAACCAGTCAAAGGAAAAAACAGGCAGCCAGAGGTCTGGCCTGGAATGCACTGGAGATAGGGAGGGCTGCTCTGGGGGGGTGGGGGGAACAAGTCAGCCTGGGATGGGTCAAGGCCAGGAGCTGCTCCTTTGGGTCCAGGACAGCAGGAAACCTGGCCAGGCACGGGCCAGAGGAAGCAGGGAAGAAGCCTCTCCATCCAGTACTGCAGCAGGAAGGCCAGACAGCAGGATGGGTTCCTCATTGCAGGCCCCAAAGGGCTTATGAGAGAATGGGAAAAGCAAAGGTGTGTAGACAGGCAAGGCTCTGTGCAAAGGCAGTCAGCATTAGAAGTGGCCCCATGGAGGCTCAGGTGGCCCCATGCAAGCCTGTCTGGCCTGGGTCCTAGGCTGCATCTCTTGGCTTTTGCTCCTCTGGACAAAGACCCTGCCCTGTGGGTCTTTGCCTCCCCCTGTTACCTTTTTTTTCCCCCTTGTGACTAATCGACTAATCAATCAGGGGCTAGCCTAAGTGATCCTTCCTCCCTTTCCAACCCTGACATCAGGCGATTATTCTAGGTCAGGCTACTCGATCTCTTGAAGACGGCCATCCAGTCCTATCCCAGGCACTGCCCCTTTCTCAAAGATGGCCTAGGGGGCTTGGTCTGGAGGCTGGAAGATGGGTGGCTTCTCAAACATTGCTCCCATAAAGCCTGTGATGCTCCGGGTCAACATGGGGAGCGGAGCAGACTCGGGGTTGGAGGCAGGGCCCAGGAGGCCAGGAATAGGGACACCCTCGGGGAAGAGAGTGGCCCTGGAGCCAGCATGAGAGGGAGGTGGAGGGGAAGGCAGCAGGGACTGGCAGCCAACCAGGCCTCCTTGTCACCCACAGCAGGAAGGAAGAGGTGACAAGAGACCTGAGCTAAGTGGTGGCTCTGGCCCTGAAAGCAGGGGTGGGGAGAAGCATGGGACCAGGGCTCAGCTCTGGGGGGCAGAGTGGGAGCTGCGGGGTCCTCTGTTCAACGGCCTACATGAGGTACCTTCCACTTACAGCGACCCACCTGCAGCCTGGACTCTGCACCCCTAAAAAGCCCCCTCTACCCCAGGCAGTGTCCCATTATGAGGGACTCCTCTTCTGACCCTCTCTGCAGACTTGGGAGACAGTGTCATTAAGTATGCACGCCCTAGGGTCAGATTGCCAGGGTTCAAACTCAGCTCTGCATTTCCTGTGTGTCCTTGGACAAGTTATTTAGCCTTGCTGCGCCTCAGTTTTCTCATCTGTGAAATAGAAATAATCATAGTACTCACAAGGATATAACAAGCAATACAAGTGCAGTGTGTAGCACAGCGCCCAGGACAGGGCAAAACATTAGGTGCTATTTCTTCCCAATTTGTTGACCAGAATGGGACCCTCACATCTCTCCACAGACCCAAGGCCAAAGAGGCCAAGTGTGCCTCCCACTCTCTCCAAAGGCCAAGGAAGTCCAGGCAGAGAAGAGGTAGTCTCCCCACCGCTGCCCAGGCCCACCCCACTATTCATGCTGGGGGCAGAACTTCCACAGCCTTCATAAGAAGATGCACCCTGGGTTCAAGTTCTTAGTCCCTAAATAGCTGTGTGATCTTAAACCAAAAGAAATCTCTGAGTCTCAGCTGTCTCATCTACCAAATTGAGTTAAGAATAATACCCACTGCATCAGAGGGTCCTAAGATGAGGTCTGCAGAATGCCTAGCAAAAAGAAGCCACTCAGTAAATGGTTGCTGCTACGGCCGCCTGGCACACAGTAGGTATCCCATAAATGCCAGTTTTTCCCCAGGATTCACTGGAGAGATACTATTTCTCTTCCCCGGGAGTTTGTAATCAAGACTCAAGCAAAGGGGACAGACAGACGTGGAAGGAAGGGAAAGGCTCCCAGACACAAGAGTATGGCTGCTCCCGGACTCTTCAGCCAAGCTTGAGTAGAATGGGGGGGCCAATGGTAACTGGCCAATGAGGCAGGCCAGGAGGGCGCTGGGCTTTGTGTAAACACAGAGGAAGGGGGGAGGCCAGGGGCAGGATGCCAACAAGGGTGGAAACGGAGGGGGACGGGGGAAGGCTGGGTGAGGGAGAGCAGGAGGCTGTTTCAGTCTGTTGGAAAATAAGAAAATTGAGACAAAAATATCACAGCCGTGAAACTGGTTGGATGCCAAATGAGCCAGATCTGTCAGGAATTCGACCCCAGTGCTAAGCCCCAGTGCTCGGGGCTGTCATTGACACCGTGGCGGTGGGGACATGTGGGGCTTTAAATAGCTCAGTGTCTCAGAAGTGGGGGAGGCAGAATGTTAAATATGAGGCCTGCTGCCATCCTGCCCCCCCCCCCGCCCCAGGCCAGAGTGTCTTACCCCCTGCCTTGGGCAGGGCAACCCTGCCCCACTTCACTCCTGAGACAGAAGAGGGGAAGAGGCAGATGGACATGGGAGGAAGATGGCTTTTTCTACCATCCAAAAGGATCCCTTGATTTCCTGCCATTGTCTGTTCCACTGGCTCTTGTGTGACCAGCAGGAAGTCCTTTCTGAAGTCTCACCATCATTCTGCTGCAGGCTCAACCTGTCTCTTCTCGTGGTTTCCACAGCAGTGGTAGAGCACAATCAGTCCCCACCTCCATCAATCATCCTGTGGGGACAGTATGGGCTTTCCTGGCACCCTCACTCTCTCACCTCTACTTCTGAGGACCTTTCCTTACTGGATGAAGGGGCAGGGAACTGGTTTGGCCTCCTGGCTTTGCAGAGGGCAGGGGCCCCCATGTGCCAGAAGTCAAAGGTCTATGGTGTGCAGAGCTTTGGCAGGCTCCCCCAAAGCCTGGCAGATGCCCAGCCCAGGTCCAAATGTCAAGGCAGAGGCTGCCTTCTTGTGCCAAAGCTTCATTAGCCTTGCTGGGGCAGGGTCTCTTTGTTTCCCAGGGGAAAAGACTGAGCCAACCCTCTCAAGACTTAGCCTGGAAAATGCCTTCCTAACCTATCCCAACAGAAATCAGGAGCCCCACTGGCTCCAGAAGACCCAGCCCAATACAAAGTCCACTGCCACACCCTTCATTCAGCTCAGGAGCCCTCCCTCCTGCAAACACAGGAACACAGAACTAAAGATCAAGTATAAAATCCAAACTGGTCATGAAACAAAGTGTGGGCACCAAGACTCTCTCCCTCCAGGACTTTGTGCCAGCATGAGAGGATTCCGTGTTCCCAAACCCCATATCCCATAGGATGTCCTAAGACACAGCCTCCAGGTATCCACCTTCTCTCAACCAAACATCTCCTGCTCTGTCCCAAAGGGTCCTCAGTAGACTAGATTGCGGGGTACTGGGAAGCCCGACCCTCACCAAGAAGGAAGCTGAGTGGCCGACCAGTGAGACAAAAGACCCAAGAATCAGGGAGATCAAGACAAGAGCTGTGGCATGATAACTGGCAAAGGCTGTGACCCCCTGGGGTCCCCTCAGACCCATGGGTCTGTCCAAGGAGGCGCTAAGCTTTGTTCAGGCTGTTTAGACAGGGGCTGCCCAGTGCTTGCTAGCAGGGGTGGGGGCAGGGGGTGAAGGCCATGGGCCCAGAAAGCAGTGATCCTGGAAGAACCCCCAAGGGAAAGGGGACAGGTGTACCCTCCTCAATTTCTCTGCTTTGTTGGCCAAGACTAAATATCGCATCCATGCTTAGGACAGGGTATGCAGATGCCAGGCCCCCGCCTACACAAGAGCACGTGCCCCTCAGCACTCAGGGCCCTCTCTGTGCTATCTTACCTCCTTCTACTCCTCTTCACTCAGCCACATTGTGGCCAGGCTGACCTATCCAAGGCTGTCCATGTAGGTCCCATATCCTCCACCTTCCACCCCTTTGCTCCTGCTGTGCTACCAGCCAGAAATGCAGAAATCCGATCTCCTCTTCCCTCATCTGTATTGCGTCTAAACCTTATGAAGCCTGCAAGTCCCTGATGGAGCCTCTCCCCGTCTCTGGGCTTCCCCAGCAGACTTCTCCACTAGAGGACATGGTCTCCCCTCCCAACCCTGCTACTCCCAGGGCTCTGCCTACTCTGCCTCCCAGGCCAGCTGGACCCGCCTCTCCCCCTAGACTTAGCTCCTTGGGGCCAGGACCTCAGTTTCCACAAGGACTAACTTCTGTCTCTCCCCACAGCATATGCTCAACAGATGTTTATCAGTATACGGAGACAGCCCAGAGGAGGAGCCAAGTGCTCTTACAGCCCCGGAGTCAGTCCTGGATGCCAACCTGTCTCCACCAGTCACTGACTTGTGAGCTGTTGACTTTGGACAAGGCTTTCCATCTCTGAGCCTTGCTGAGAGTTCACAGTGGTATAATTAGGATTGGATGAGAAAATACATGTAAGGTACTTAGGACATGCCTATTATATAATTCCTAACACTTATTATTAATATTTGTTAAATAGAAACAAATTAGAATCAACATTTTCCAGAGGCTGAATGGCCTCCCCCACTGCCCTCCTGATGATGCCCATCTCTTAAGTCTGAGGCTCGGCCTGGACTTCTCAGCAGCCCCCCTATTACCAGTTTTCCTAAGGTCCTCAGAAACTCTGGTGTAGCCAGACCCTGGGGTGTCCTTCAGTTCTCTTGACTGTCCAGCAGAGTTCCAGAGAACAGCTTCCGCACTCCTCCCTGTTCCTGTCCCAGGGCTCCCCAAGTACACAATATCCTAGTTTTCCACTGAGCCCTCCAGCCACTCCTGTGTCTGCTGCTGGCTCATTCTCCTCTATCTAACCTTCATGGTTTACGGGCCCTTCAGGGCTCCATCCTAGACCCCCTCAGCAACTCCTGGTGATCTCATGCACATGCACAGCTTCTATCTCTCATGAGTGGGAACACTGGGTTGTCCTGGATTGCTCCTTCCTCACCAAACCTACTGCTGCGGCGTGCCAGCACAGTCAAGGTGGCAAGAATGCAGACTCTGGAGCCAGGCGCCTGGGTTCAAACCCTGGCTCCTAGGACAGGTTTTACTTAACCTTTTCAGTCCTTGGTTTCCATCTATAACCTCGGGATGATAATACTGCTAATCTCATAAGCTTGTGATGGGATTAATGAGGTTATAAAATACTTAGAATGGTACCTGACATACAGAAAGAGTTATGCATGTGTTAAATAAATTTTTAAAAATGTTAATCACCTCAAAACATAGCTCAAACATAGTTTTTAACAACCCCCTTCCCAAGATCCATGCTCCCGCCCAGTCTAGCTACTGTGCCCTGTACTAAAACCCACTAGCCCCCTGCATCCACTCCTACCCCTCCAATTTGTTTGCTACACAGTAGCCAGGATGAGTTTTCCAAGCATATCTATCCAGGAAACCTCTTCCCTTTGACCCTCGTTTCTTCCTGACACTTTGAAAATCCATGTGGAAAGTGTTAATGTGCCCCCAAGCTCTCCAGGGCCTGGCCCCATTCACTGCCCACCTGCGCATCTGTCTCTCACCCACTCCCTGGCTTCCTGTATGGCATTTCAGGTTCTCACTCTTTCTTTTATTTATCTTTTAAAGATTTATTTATTTATTTATTTATTTATTTATTTATTTATTTATTTGAGAGAGAGAGAGTGCAAACGAAAGAGCAGGCACAAGCAGGGGGAGCGGCAGGCAGAGGGAAGGGGACAAGCAGGGAGTCGGATGCAGTTCCATCGTGACCTGAGCTGAAGGCAGATGCTCACCCGACTAAGCCACCCAGGAGCCCTTAGTTCTCACTCTCTTCTGTCTGTGCATATTCTGGGTCTCCTGTGTGGATGGCTCCCCCTACTCTCCCTGAACTCATGGAGCTAAGGTTCATTCATCATTCCAATCTTACTTCAAAGGCTCCCTCCTCAGGGAAGCATCCCCGATTGCCTGGCACTGGTCTGGTCTAGTGCCCCATCACACACCCTGCAGCACATCTCTTCCACTGCACTTTTCAAGAGTTGTGCTTTTACATTCAAAAGTGTGCTTGTGTGGTTACTACCAGAGGGCAGGAACCTGGTTTTTGGCTTTGGTCCTTGTTAAGTAAGCGCTACACCCAACGTGGGTATTGAATTTATGACCCTGAGATCAAGAGTTGCACGCTCTATGAACTGAGCCAGGCAGGTGCCTCTTGTCTGTTTTTACATCCTTTTGGATCTCCAGCACTCAGCAAAGTGCCTGGCACACTGTAGGTGCTCAATACATGAATTACTGCTTTGGTGGCAGGCAGGTGAGTGAGCACAGACCATTTCCCTAAGGCTTACAGAGGGAGCTCTGGTTGCAACTTCTTACTCTCACACCCTCCCCAAGGTTGTCACAGCTCAGAGCTGTCCCCTGGCCCATGCTTCTCACACAATCTCAGGCCCTCAATACTGGCTCCACTGACCAGTCACACTGTGAAGCTCAGAACCCTCTCTGGATACCCACATGGAACATTCTTTCAGCTTCTCAGGGATGGTCGAAGACCAGGCTGAGCTCTGCCTGGAGTGCTGCAGCTGCCATACCTCCTGGGCTGGGATGGAGGGGGCTTTAAGTCATCCAGAGGGGTCCCTACCAGCATGCTCCCTACCACTCATCTCCCTTCTGTGCTTATAAATTGCCCTACTGGGTCTCTTAGTGGCTTCTTCCTCCCTTCCTTCCAAACACCCAGCCTAGGACTCTGCTAGAAAGGTAAGGTCTGATTCAATCCCTTCTCTGTTTTCTCCCTAGGCCTAACCACCCACAGCTGCAGTTTCCAATCTGCAGAACAGAGAGGAAGGTACGTGAAGGGAAGCCCTGTTGGGTGAGAACGGGGATCCAAGAGTCCCTCCTTCCTGGACGAGGGTGTAGAGCAGGAGTCCTGCCGAGTTACCTACCCAGGCAAAGGCCACGCAGGTGGGATACATGGGGGAGGAGGCTGGCACAGAAGTGTGGTAGCGGCAGAGCATCACCAGGCTGGCCAAACCGTTGAGGAACGAGGCCATGGCAGAAGCTGGCTCTTGGAAGAACAGGAACCGGGAGAAAGGCCACTGGAAAGGGAGCACATGGAGAGGGCCTCAGGGGCAGGCAACCCCAGCTACCCCAACCTGCTGCTCCTTGACATGCCACATCCACAGGCCTTCAGCTGGTTGCTTCACTCTGGATCTTGGCCAAAGCCTCAGGGACAGTCCCTCTTAGGGTCCATGAGCCCTCCTCCAGTCCCTAGCTAAAGGCCCTCCCTCTGTCCTGGCCAGCATTCACAGCACAGTAAGCCTGGTCTCTAGGAAGGCCAGGTAGGCCAGTGTAGATGGCTCATATGGCCTGGTGGAAACAGCATAGACTTGCCACCCAGAAAATAGGTTCTGATATACTCCTCCTCTACTACCCACAGACCTCTGAGCCTCAGCTTACTCTGACAAACTGGGGAGAATAATTCTTGTCAACCTCAATAGTCTAGAACAAGATCATTCTGGATGAGAAAGCACTAGCGGGGAAGGGTGGGTAACCGGGTGATGGGCATTAAGGAGGGCATGTGATGTGATGAGCACTGGGTCTTACATGCAACTGATGCATAACTGAACTCCACAAGTGAAACTCATGATGTGTTATATATTGGCTAATTGAATTTAAATTAAAAAAGAAAGAAAGAAAAAGTACTAGTAAACCATGACTTGGGCAACCTGAGGGTGTATTACTATTTCAATCCAGACCACTACTGAAGAAGCAAAAGAAAGCATGCTGTGGAGGGTCAGGAAATCTATCCTTGTAGCAAGGTGAACATGCCACCACCCTAAGAAGCCCACCACCACTCTCTGAGATCACACAGCTTCCCAGATTTTGTTACTTCAAATCCAGAGCCAGGACACACTGGTTCTGTCTGATTATATGGAAACCGGCAGATTTTGAAAATAGGAACCTGCCCCAAATACGCATCCATTACCCCACAACTCAGACTGCCTGGACAGTGTGGTCTAACCTAAGGGGTATCTTACCACACTGTCACCATATCCCTACCCTGACCCTCCAACTCACCTTGCCATGGAACTGAGGCACTTTGTGACCTTCCTTGAGGTAGAGGCCAACAGTGACCCACATACACTCATATTTACAGTCGTCCTGACAGGTCCAGCCTGAAACAGAGAAACATGACCTGGTGAACTCCCCATCATGGGAGGCACAGAGAGAGAGCTCAAGTGGGACCCAAAATAAGAGGGTCTGCAGGTTGGAGAGAACCAGAGGAAAGTCTACATTCCCACTTGGATATATGAGAGATGGAAGGACACACACACAAGGGAAAGGTGTTTGTGTATGTGTTTAGGGGATGGGGGTGTACAGTGAGTGAGCAACAGAGACGTGTCTTCTCTTCTCCTTCCACCCAGATGGGAACTTTAGCATCTGCTGAACTCATCAACGGCTAGATGGGTTTATGTTTGCTCTTGATGAACTTAGGCTTTGCTCTCACTGGCCAAGGAGGAACTCTTGGCCTCTGACCTCCCCCTCCTGTGAAAATGAAGCCCAAATTCTTCCACTCTAACTTCTGAGGCCCCAAATTGCTTTCCCAACTTTATTTCCCATACTCCTTTTTTTGTGTACCCTGCACCCTGCTCCCTGAGTAAACCAGGCTTACTGTATATGTGCACATCTGCCCAGGGCCTCCATTCTCTTTGTTCCCTCTGGAATGCAAAGGGATAGTCAAGAGAACAAACTTCTAGTCTGACGGGCTAGAACTGGAAACACCACTTTACCACTTTCTGACTGTGTGACTTTGGGCAGGGCACTTAACCTCTCCGAGTTTCCCCACTGTAAAACTGGGTTAAAGGAAACTGCCTGAGAGGGTTGTGAAAATTACCGGACCTGCCGTGACACCTGTTACCCACCAGGTGACCATTAATGGCCACAGGCCCAAATTCCCAAATTTAACGTATCCATCCTTAAGTCCTTCTAAGATGATCACTGCCCCCACCTTTTTAAAGCCAGAAACGACTCCTTCCTCCCCCATATGCTCCGGTTGCCTGACCTAAGGGTTCTTTAGGGCTCAAAGCATCCTCTACCTTGCACTGGAGGCTAATGTCCCCGCGAGGAGTGTGACCTCAAATGGCTGGGCACTGATCTGATTTCAGTGTCATTCTAGGCCCAGTACCCAGGGGTATTAAATAAATACCTATTTGCCTGAATAAATAAAAAGACTGGCCGATGCCGCTCTAACCACCCTGGGCCTCCGTTCACAGTCATAAGGGACTCCAGGGGAAGCGAAGGTTCAGAGGTTGTTTGGGGGCGCAAGGGGCGGGGCCAAGGCCGAAGGCGGGGCTTGCCGCGGGGTGGGGCTTACCTGCTAGGCTCATGTAGATTGGCTGGCGGGAGCGGAAGTGCCTCAGAGCGCCCCCCGAGCAGTTCCGCTCCTCGCACCGGTGCACGCAGTCGCGATACACCGGCTCCCGGTCGCCCTGAGAGGCGCTTGCTAGCGCGGCTGCGCCAGCCAGCAACACCAGCCGTGCTGTCCGCCCGGCCATCCCTTCAACCTGGCCCTCCGCCGGCGGAGGAGCTTAGGAGTCTTCACTTCCGGAGTAACCGGAAGTTCCGTGTGTTCTTTAGTCTGATCTCCGGTGACGTCCACCCACTTTAAATTAAAGTGCCCGGATTTCTGTGGGCGCCTGCCCCGCCCCTCGTCTTACCATCATCTCCATATATAGAGGCGACAGGGTTAAGGGAAGGGAGACGCCAGGTGGGTTAAGGAGGAAAATAAACTGGTCTGGTATCAACACGCGCCCTCTTTCTTCTCCATGCTGTCTTTATTTGAAGTACAGGTTCTTTTTCTGTCATCAGACCCCAGGAGATTCGCTTCCTAAGATACCTGGAACTGCCCACTTGTCTCCATCTCCATTGGCACAATCCTGGTTAAAGACATCATCATCTGTCGCTGAGACACTCGCGGTTTATGAGTGTCTCTGCCCCTACTTTTGTCCCCATCCAGTCCGTTAACATTTAAATTGGACTGTGTCACTTTTCTTCTTAAGAAAAAAAAAATTTTTTTTTAAAGATTTTATTCATAAGAGATACAGAGACAGGCAGAGGGAGAAGCAGGTTCCTCGCAGGGAGCCTGATGTAGGACTCGATCCCAGGACCGAGGATCACACCCTGAGCCACCCAGATGTCTGTCCCTCTTCTTAAATTCTTTATGGGCTCCCCATTACCTCAGGATAAAATCATAATTCCACAAACTCTGCATGATCTGGCCCCTGCACCAGACCCATGGGGCCATGTCCTCACCCCTACTGGCTCTGTCTTGTCTGTACAATTCGTACTCTCAACACCTGCTTATTCTAGTTTGAATTTAAACTCCATTTTTTTTAAGATTTTATTTATTTATTCATGAGATACACAGAGAGAGAGAGAGGCAGAGACACAGGCAGAGGGAGAAGCAGGCTCCATGCAGGGAGCCCGACGTGGGATTCCATCCTTGGTCTCCAGGATCACGCCCTGGGCTGAAGGCAGACACTCAACTGCTGAGCCACCCCCCATCCCAAAACTCCATTTCTGACGGTGGTAACACCTGGAGGATGATATAAGATACGGGTGATAGGTTTTCCCCAAGCCGGGTGGGGGCCTCCGCTGTCTTGTTTACCACTCTACTTCCAGCACTAATATAGAATCTGGCTCATGTTAGACACTAAGAACTCATTTATTTTTTTTCTTTTTCTTTTTTATTTTATTTTTTTAAGATTTATTTATTTATTTATTTATGGTAGAGAGAGAGGCAGAGACACAGGCAGAGGGAGAAGCAGGCTCCATGCACCAGGAGCCCTACGTGGGACTCGATCCCGGGGCCTCCAGGATCGTGTCCTGGGCCAAAGGCAGGCGCTAAACCGCTGTGCCACCCAGGGATCCCCTAGATTTTATTTTTATTTATTCATGAGAGACATACAAAGAGAGGCAGAGACAAAGGCAGAGGTTGAAGCAGGCTCCCTGTGGGGAGCCCAATGAGGACTCGATCCCAGAACCTAGGATCAACCACTGAGCCACCCAAGTGCCCCTAAGAACTCATTTTTCTTTTCTTTTCTTTTCAATGAATGAACGTTAATCCAACGGAAGGATTTGGGTACTAAATCCAGGGCTGTGGAATCACCAGTGTGATTCAGACCACGCTGAGATGGGAGAGGTGTAATATTTCAAAGAAAATCAAGAGGAGGACCTTTGGGAATAGGATACTTGCTCTAATATCCACCAGCTCCTCCCTACATCACCACCAGGATACATTCACATACCCATCTCATTGAAGCATTGAAGCCTTGTAGCTGGATGCATAATTAGTGTGTGTAAGATTAATGACAGCTTTTCTCCTCTCCTACTCTCCATCCCGGGTCAACTTTTCCTTTTTATTTCAAGAAGTGGAATGAAGAAGAAGTAAAATTGGATTTCATTTACTTACTCATTTAGCAAACATTTCCGGAGTTCTTAGTTCTAGCACCATGTGAGGCAAGGCACAACTCCAGGAGTCACCATTCATATTGTATTTTCTGTGAACGGTGCCTCTTCAAGTTAAATATAATATGAATAGTATCCCCTGGAGTTGAGCACCCAGTTGATAATGATTGGGAAGCTGAAAGGAACAAAACAACCACTCAGCTCTCTAGAAGCTGACCAGAAGCAATCTAGCGCTAATACTACTTTGCATCTGATAGATCAGTCCTTTTCTACTACATTATTTCATTTCGTCCTTACTATAATTCTGGGATCATTTTTTTAAGTGAGCATCCTCATTTGAAGATGAGGAAATTCAGGGGTGCCTGGCTGGCTCAGTCAGTAGAGCATGCGACTCTTTTTTCCCACCCAAAGATTCTATTTTTACATAATCTCTACACCCAACATCAGGCTTAAACTCAGCAACTCTGAGATCAAGAGTCTCAGAGTCTCACTTGATCTCGGGGTTGTAAGTTTGAGCTCCACATTGGGTGTAGAGATTACGTAAAAATAGAATCTTTGAAAAAAAAAAGATGAAGAAATTTAGAATAGAAGAAAATAAAATAGGATAAAATCCTAACAAAGCAGGATTCTCCCTTTGAGAGAACTCTGAGGTAGAGATAAGGCTCTTCTAAAACTTTTAAGTTTCTGATTTTGGAAGCCTATATTACATCAAACATTAAAAACAAAGGGAGGGATCCCTGGGTGGCGCAGCGGTTTGGCGCCTGCCTTTGGCCCAGGGCACGATCCTGGAGACCCGGGATCGAATCCCACGTCGGGCTCCCGGTGCATGAGCCTGCTTCTCCTTCTGCCTGTGTCTCTGCCTCTCTCTCTTTCTCTCTCTGTGACTATCATAAAAAAAAAAAAAAAAAAAAAACACACACAAAGGGAAAACATAAAAAACAATTTCATGTAGCCACACATGTGGAGTTATATAATTGGATAATGTAAATAGGAAGAGGGGGTAAGGGAATGAGGAAGGAGAAGAAGGATACTTTGGGTGGTCAGAGAAGGCCTTTTTGATTTATTTTTTTTTAAGATTTTATTTATTTATTCATGAGAGACACAGAGAGAGAGACAGAGACAGAGACAGAGACACAGGCAGAGGGAGAAGCAGGCTCCATGCAGGAAGCCTGATGTGGGATTCCTGGTCTCCAGGACCACGCCCTGGCGCTCAACCGCTGAGCCACCCAGGGATCCCAAGAAGGCCTTTTTGAGAATGTGACATTTGAGATGAAACCCTATGTGACCAGAAGGAACCAGTCCTGCTAACACCTGGGGGCAGACTGTTCTAGGCTGAGGGAATAGCCAGTGCAAAGGCCCTAAGGCAAGAACATGTTTGGCATCTTTGGAAAACAGAAAAGAAGCTCGTGTGGCTAGAAGGTTATGAGATTGAAGTGACAGCCAAAGACCAGATTCTGTTGGGTCAGTCAAGAGTCTAGGCAAGGCAGCCATCGCAAGGTGTGTTAGCACTCCAACAAATGAGACTTATGTTAAAACACTTACTTTGGCTGCCATGGGGAAAAGAGTGGGGGTAAGATTGAGAGAGGGCAGAAGCAACATGCAAGAGATCACAGGCTAGTGCTTTTATTTTATTTTATTTTCTAAAGATTTATTTATTTATTCATGAAGGACATACAAAGACAGAGAGGCAGAGATACAGGCAGAGGGAGAAGCAGGCTCCATGCAGGGAGCCCGAAGCAGGACTTGAACCCAGCTGAAGGCAGACGCCCAAGCACGGAGCCACCCAGGCGTCCCATAGGCTAGTGCTTTTACCCAGAGAAGACCTGACAGAGGCTTTGACTAGCTGGTGGTGGAGGCAGGAAAAACACAGACGTTTCGAAAGAAGAATCGACAGATCTCAGAGAATGACTTGATGTAAAAGCAAAAAGAAGGGGACGTCTGGGTGGCTCAGTGGTTGAGCCTCTGCCTTTGGCCCAGGGCATAATCCTGGAGTCCCAGGATTGAGTCCCACATCAGGCTCCCTGCATGAAGCCTGCTTCTCTCTCTGCCTCTCTCTCTCTGTGTCTCTCATGAATAAATAAATAAAATATAAAAAAAAGAAAAGAAAAAAAACGTTTAAAAAATAAATTAAAAAAAAAGCAAAAAGAAGAATCATTAACATGGGTTCAGTGAATGAAATCATCTGAAACTGGAACTGTCTTCCCAAATCAGGACCTGGTGACTATGCCAGTTTTATGCTTCTGGAAGCTTCCTAACCTCCTCTTCCCCCATTTTTTTTTTTAAGATTTTATTTACCCATTCATGAGAGAGAGAGAGAGAGAGAGAGAGGCAGAGACACAAACAGAGGGAGAAGCAGGCTCCATGCAAGGAGCCCAATGTAGGACTCGATCCTGGGACCCCAGGATCACACCCTGGGCCAAAGGCAGGCGCTCAACTGCTGAGCCACCCAGGGATCCCCACCCCCCCAATTTCTTTTTAAAGATTTTATTTATTTGTTTGAAAGAGTGAAAGCCAGAGAGATCACAGAGGGAGGGGCAGAGGGAGAAGCAGATTTGCCACAAAGCAAAGTGCCCTATGTGGGGCTCCAACCCAGGACCTTGAGATCCCAGGACCTTGAGATCATGGCCTGAGTGGAAGGCAGGCGCTTAACCAACTGAGCCACTCAAGTGCCCTACCTCTTCCCCAAATTAAAAGTCAGAGGCAAGATTGTCCTCATTCACACCCCAGTAGTCTGGAGCTCCAATAGCAAGCCAGGGGAGCTTGGAGTCCTGAAGGGCTGAGTAGAGCAGGAAAACTCAGTGTTTGTGAAACAAAAAATCTGGAATCTGGAATCTGGCAGAGGGATGGCTCAATGGGGCTTTCAAGGAATAAGCATGGTGTTGCAGGAGTCACTGCTCCCACACTGAAGTCTAAAACACTGTGACCAGAAATTATTCAGTTCAACTCTCTCATATTTCAGACGTGGAAATGAAGTGTTATTCAAGGCCACACAGCCCAGCTACTCTCTGAGGAAAGATGCCGAGGGTGCATATTAAATAATAGCCAGCACAAACACACAGCAACAGGAACAGAAACCATGACAGTCTTGTCTGTGTGGGCCAGGATGGAAGCCACGTGTACCTCCTCCATTAAAGCCAAGGAAGGCTGAAGGCAT